AAAAAAAAAATTAGAAATGAAACCATTGCATGGCTTATAATTCTCTCGTTGAAAACATGTAAATAAATAGCGTGTCAATGCATGATTGGTACCACGTGGGTATACTGTAAAAGTCATCATTCGTCGCATCATTTTAACACTTCCGCTTACATTATATAAATAATTGATAACCTCATCAAATGGTCCACTACGATGTTCAACACCATATTTGTGTGGATCAATTGCTACCATATCGTAGCATAATGGATAATTTTTTGTTTGCTGCAAAACAGAAAAAAAAATAAACTGCAATTTTTTCATTATTATTCAAAATGTGATAAATTAATCAAAAATTGAAAGAAAATTTTTGTAATATTAAATAAAAATTAAATGATATAATTAGCATACCGCTTTTATATACTTTGCTGAGCCTAAAATACCGAAATTATATTCGTCATTGGAGAGATTTTTCAAATTTCCAGATGTTTTTAAACATATCGGCACAGTTATTTTTGATCCTTCTTCATGTACTGCTTTCTCAAAGTTAGCATCACATGGCTGCAAATTTAATTGGAATTATATAAAACCATTCGGAATGCTAATTGCAATACTTTATTAGATGTTTTCAATTTCACATTCTCATTAATAAATGATTGTGACATTTTCGCTGTCATGAAGAAAGCGGAAGTCTTTCAAATTTCATTTAGCATTTACAAAGAATTCAAACAAACAAATTTTTAAACCGATATGTTTAAACTAATAATTTAATTGAATATTTTTAAAGTGATCAATTATTTTTTGTCTAAATTAAAGTACAGTGAGAATTGTCATACCGTAATTCATTACATTATATACCTGTTGCAGACGTGGACTTTGAAAACAGGAACACTGAATAACATTGGTAAGAACTGGGATAAGTAATCTGCAGAATGGATCGAGAATTGGCAGAAATATTTTACGGATACAGCCATGCTGAATGGTCATATTGTACTTTTGCCTGGAATAAAATATGAGGAACAAAATTTAATGAAAAAAATCCAAAACTTATTTTGTTATTTTGTTATATTTCATATGGAATGGAATGGAAACAGCTTAATTATAATGTCTAACCCCATTTTGTCCAGGTTTTTTCCTTGCTTGTACAATTTTTTCAGAGTTAAATTTTTCGGTGAATAAAATGAATAATCTTCAATGAGCATCACTTCATCGAATGTATCAAACAGAAAGTAACGACTGCATTTAATGTAAGTATCATCGAACCGACGATTAAAATAAATCATTAAATAAGAATATAATTGACTCATACACGGGAAAATATGCCTGCAAATTTTTGCACCATTAAGAATGGAATTTTTCAAATATTATTTTTATAAAAATTTCACCTATTAAATTCTAAATTTTTTATTTTGGTTTTTCCAAATACAGAAAGATATGGCTATCATATAATGATAAATATAATGATAGCAGCCATGGTTTTGTCGATTTTTTAAAGCATATTGATTACGCCATCATTTAATAATAAATAATATTGTTTTGGAATGAAATCATATTAATATGATTTTTGAGAAACGCAAAAGATTGGTGAATTTCTCGATGTTTTAATAATTATCAAAAAAATTTTAATTTATAAGATGAAATATTTTAAATTATTCGTGGAAATGTTTCAAATTAAAAGAATTAAAAATTTTTTTATCATTCGATTATAATATTAAATAGCACTTAGTTTAGAAGATAACATTTTCAAATATTTCACACAATTATTGCTAAATTTTTTAAAAATATATATTGCTTAAATATGATTAACAATTAAATCAGTTATGCCAGCTTCATTTTTACTTACGACAAGTGCCTTTTATAACTTAAAATAAATAAAAACAATCATTAATTCTTCATGAAACTTAATTTTAATGAGCTTACGTGGTACTAATAAGTTGTTTAGTTTGTTTAAAATATTTATTTCCAAAATGATTGCACAAATCGTCCGTATTACAACAGCATCTAAGTGTTGCAATCACATAATTTGTCGTAATTAAATCTTGCATGCATTTTGGTGCTTCAATACTGCATCCTTCTGTTTTGCATATTTCCTCTGTATCACTTCCATACTTCATTTCTAATCTTTAATAAAATTATCAAATTATAAGGTGAACAATATTATAATAAAATAAAATATTATATTATTAGGTATTATTAGATTTGTTTCATTTTCTCATATAAAACATGCTAACATTTGAATGATTTAAAATTTACATATCGATTTTAAATAATAAATAAATAAACTAACGATGTTGGTGGCTTTCGTTCCGTTTGCTTAAATTGCAAAGAAGCTATAAAATAGCAAAATTTTTGCGGTTCTGCTAATAGTTCACGTTTTCCTATTTTTACCGTAAAATCTTCCTTTTTCCAGTTACCAATTGTTACATTATATGTACCAATTGCACAAAGATGTAAAGGTGTATTAAGTCCAGTTGATATCAGATTTCCCGTAACTTTACTAACTGAAATGGAAACTTAATTAGTGAAAAGTAGTATTAATTGTGAATTTTTTTTTTGTAAGAATTTAAGCATTTTATGTAAAATATTTTCTTCCTTATTTATCATCAAAATAATTCTATATAAAATAATTTCGTCATTATAAATATTTCTTATTTTTGACAATTACCTGTTGGTTTGCTATAAATATATTTGCGATAAATCCATAATCTACCAAAAAGTTGGATTAATCTACCAGTTTTAACATTATGTAAATCAACTTTTAGAAATGATCGTATTGGAAAATTATTTGCCCAAACTTCCGCATTTTTACTTGCATATGAAAGTGATTTTTCATTGCTTGTATAAGCACAAAGTTCGAAATTCGTATTGCAACAACAATAAAAGAAAAAATCCAACGGAGACAAATAATATATGCATTCTGATTTGGGACATATTTTTGTAAAATTCATTGAAACAACATCTGCTAATGATTTCTTAAACAAATTATTTATTAATATTTGAAAAAAAAAATGAACAATATGCTAGCTAATTTGACGGATAAAATTTGAGTGAAAGAAAAAAATTCAGGTCACAATATTTACGTCCTATGGATGCATCACTTTAATTTGTTTGGAAAAATTTAAATAGTTTATATATATATATCGAAAGGATTTAAAATTATCATAAAACGAACATTTATTCGATGAGTTGTTTGCAATATGTGATCAAATTTTGATGCCAACAATGGTCCTACGTAAATTTTTTTAACTGAGCATGAATCCAACAGTAATACACAATGATCTATGCCAGCTACTTTCATCCAAAAAAAAAAATACTTGAATAAAATTAAAAAAAAATTTTTTTTTGTTTTTTCTTATTTATTTGCAAACATCTTGCTGAAATAGTGAGAAAAAGAAAAAAATGGAAAAATGAAAAAGAAAGATGTTAATAAATGAATATTAGAAAAAAAACGAAAACAATTCATTAAATGTATTTATCACTATTATAATTTTAATTAAATCATTAAAATTACTCTGACAAGCTCATCTATTCAATTTTCAAACTTTATTTAATTTTGTAAGAAAAAGTGAATTATTTACTGCAAGTGTGCCATCTTCTAGCAAGCAGTAAGGAAGCGGTTTGCCAGAAATATATTCATATGTACCATAATTTGATTTCGGCAAATTTTTCAACAACAAATTACCAATAAAATTAACAATTTCTTCGCTGGTCATATCCTAATAAAACTACAACTCATTAATAATCATTAATTTTAACTACAAAATTAGCAATTTTGTTTCATGCAAGAAAAAAATCAGTAATATTAACTGCAAAAACAAACAAACAGGCAAGCAAACAAACAAACAAACAAACAAACAAACATTGGTGTGTGAGCAATCCTTGCAGCAATAATAAAAGATATCCACCAAATATTTCACCTTCATTCTCTGATCATCGCTGCATATTATTTTGAATTTTCATTTCAAATTCAAGTTATTAAGTACAGTCAATCAATCAATCTCCTTTTACGTACAATTATAGCAGGAAAATCTGCTTGAAAGCTTTTGTAACATTTTAAAATACAATTTAATTTGCACATATATATGTATAGAAAACATACATATATGTTCGCTCTGATAAATCGACCTCATATGCAAATCCATAAGTATAATTTGTAGTTTTCATACAATTTTGAATCACTGCTTTATTTCCAGTATCAAATTCACGTTTTAAGTTCCAATACTTATCCATAACACGCACAGAATAATAGCAAAAATAAAAACCCTTAAAAATAAATGGAAACAATTCATTTTTAATTTTAACGCATGTTTGATAAATATATTCAATATATATGCTAATAAATATATCGTCATTTTTTTAATAAGCGACAATAATTTGTCATATGTTTGTTACATTTTTCTTCAATACATGCTTACAAATAGTTAAATTTTGATTGGAAATTATTATTAGTAAATTTCTAAAAATTCTGAAACCTTCGGTGGATCGCTGCAGAGAACAGATCGTTTCATACGTGGAAATGAGGTAATCAGTATTTGTTGTAATGAGTTATCGCATTGTCCTGAAAAAAAGATTTAATTATATTATTTATTGGTTTATTTTTACAGCTCATTAATTTATTTTATTGTTTACTTATTATTCAGTAGATTTTGATTATTATTCATTTATGTGTTTTAGTATTTAAATTTTTACTTTTTATAAAAAATTTTTACTTTTTTATCGAAAATAGTAATAAAAAAATCACTTCTCTTCTTTGTTAAAATACAAAATATTTATCATTTTATTATTATTTCTGTGTAAGTGAAATGATTAAAATTTTGAAATTTTTGCGTAATAAAAATATTTTTGCGGCTCGTTAATTTATTTCATCGTTTGATTATTATTCATTTATGTATTTTAGTATTTAAATACCAAACTATACCATCAGCGCAAATTGTGTCATTTATAAATGATGCAACACTTAGCAAACATAGCCAAAAGAGAATTGAGTGAAAGAGCCACCGGGACATTTAGTGGCAAACATTGATTAGAAAAATTTTAACTTCATTTTTATACTCATTTATTACGCCTATTCCTTCAACTTAGTATTAATATGCTAATTCATTAGTAATTTAAGAGGAGTTTGGAATATTTTGGAAATGTTCGATTATTTTAAAATAATTTTAGTAATACATTGTGAATTTTTTAATGGGATTCTTTTTGAAGAGCAGCTTTTGTCTGGCACAATCGAATTTCAGTTAGCGTATTATTTTTTCATTTTAATTATTATTTTTTAAATACAACAAATTTATTTGACTTCTACTCATCGAAGGCAGCTGTAACTTCTATAATACTGAAAAAAGTATCGCATTCGATGAAACCCCAAATATAAGTAGATTTCAATCTCTCTTTAACAATTTCTGATATTCTGATTACAATATTTTGAAAACTTTTGAACTTTAACCCTCTCGTTTTTTTATCTGGAATGAGAAACGTTTTTGATGAAAATTCTAACTGTTCAAGTATATATTCTTAAAATTCATCGTAACACACAACTGATGAATAATTTCCACTTGCTGAAAGTTTTGACTTCACATTTTCAAACACAAAGAATGTGAGAAAAAGTTACTGTGTAAAGCAATGTATAATATTTGTATGTTTTGAGAACAAATTATATAATTTTATTCTGTGCACAAAAATCCGAGCAATAATTGAAGAAGAAATTCCCGAGAATTCGATGGCACCTTCTAGCAATGACTCATCAACATATTTGCACGTGTTTCATTCCGTGTCATTTTAATACTCATAAACTATTAAAGCAGGAAATACGTTGATAAATTAAAGAGGAATTCAAACATCAAATGGATAAGTTGAAAAAAAACAATAACGATAACAGCAATAGATGAAATGATAAAAATTAAGGATGAACAAAGTATTTAGTTAATGAAATACTGAAATATCAAAAGCAACAGTAGATATTTCAAAAAATTTTTTTT